ATTTTAATGTGTGTTTCTTTAAATCTGTGAGTAACACAAATACAAACTCTTAGGAGTCTGGAGTAAAGATGGAGACCTTAAAAGAAAGAAAAACCCAAAGAGGAGACCTGAATCGAATCTCCTCAGTGATCAGATCTATGAAGTCAGGCAACGTCAAATCACAGATTGTAGATCTAATGATTTATCTACAGGAGGTTGTTTGTATGTTACTTATCTATATGTTGTATGCAGTCATGGATACATGTGTGGGGATTTGCATCATTGGTGAAACACATAATCAGATGATTTACTTCTGTACAAGTACCAATAAAGCAGTGTGAAGTAGAAAGCAAAAAGTAAAGTGTAGCATGAACAATCCTACTGATGCAAAAGCACATGAGTATTAATAGTAAAATATCTATAAAGTCTTGAAGTTACAGGTGCTGGTTTAATCCCCCTGACTGATATGTTATTATATATGACACCACTGGACTATTGACAACACTGGGTTACAAAAAAATATACGTTTTTGAAGGTGTCTCGGATTTTTAAAAAACTGATTTAGAACATTTTTGCAACGCTAAATCCAAAAATAACATCTGCTTTTCTGTCTCAGGTTTTTATGCCAACTCAATTTTTAAAAAATCAATTGCGCCACTAAACCGATGACATTTTTTGACATCAGCGATTGATTTATTTTAGTATTTCACATTTGAAATCACATTTTAGGGGAAAATTTTCATTTTCTATGAGCTAAATGATCCACAAGTTGATGAGCGTAAACATTTGTAAAGGTAAAAACAAGTAAATTTCAAATGGTGACAAATCAAACTTTTGACCTCATTGAGCAAAACTATTGTAATATTTGGATTCAGCTCATTGTAATTGTCCAAAATCAGCTCAAAAAACACCGAAATGGGTGTAGACCAGTGTAATGAACCCTGTAGGTGGAGCTAGTGAGAAATATTTTAACTACAGTTTAATAAACCGGATCTCTGTTTTCAGTTTTTGGATCTTATCTTTACATTTTGGGGAAGTTATTAGAACATTTGAGCACTGACATAATCCGCTTTAGCAGCTTAGAGAGTAAAAAGACGATTTGCTGAAACTGCTAACGACTCACACACATCTGAGGAGTGACCCTGAATATGCTTTTTTTTAAGATGCTAAAATTTTAAAAACTACTTCTTTCGCTCTTTTGTTTATTATATTAAAAGCTTCCCATAATATCCATCACATAAAACCTTCATCTTAAATGTACCTAAAGCTAGAAAGTACAATGCTGCCCTCTGAAGTGTAGTTACGTGGAAATACTCGAGTAAATGTACTTAAGGATGCCTCCCGTGTGGACTCTGTCTGGATACTGTACGTGACCTTTCAAAGTGTGCACGCGCCACTCGTGTGTTTGTGCGAGCGCATGCAGGAGGAGGGGAGGTGGGGGATGGGGGGTGGACTCGGTACACAAAACCACGTTAGAGCTGTCACAAGCAGAGCCGAAATTGGATTAGTGTCACCCGTGATAAGGCGAAGGGGCGAAAGAGGGAAGGGGAGAAAATTGGAAGAAAGGAAACGGCTATTTCGCCACCACTACATCCCTCTCTCTCTCTCTCTCTCTCTACCTCCACCTCCACAATAATTTCATTTCAAATTCCAGGCACTGAATGCATAACCGCGCCGCCATGCCGTTATGGAGCCGGCAGAAGTTAATATAATATTTATATGCAGACTGTGGAACCCTGAATTTCCCCTTTCTTTTTTCCGAACAGCATGCAAACCTCCTCCTCCACCTCCGCCGCCGCCGCCGCCGATATCCACACACTCGAGCACACAGACCTCGCTGCTATGTCTCGTTTTAGAATTGCCTTTGTTACCGTTTGACACTATTTTTACACCTCCAGGAGAACTGAAACGGGGCCCGTCACGGAGGCAGGGTGGAGGTGAGCAGCTCCTGGTCAGGTGCTGTTGGCTTCACCGCGAAGACGTCGGAGAAACAAAACCCAACGTCAGTGGATGATTCAATTAATGCAGACAGAGAGGGAGGGAGGGAGGATGCACGGGCATGTGATGAGCCATAAGAATAATCTGGACTGATGTCTCCAAAACGCTGCGTTAAATAACGACTGTTGGAGGCGATGGAGAAAGTGGTGGTTAAAGGATACTGGGAGGGAAGATAGAGATGCTGACAGGTGAAGCTGAAAAGGGAGGGAGAGAAGAACTCACAGAGGAGCTATAAATACAGCGAAAGAGAGGCCTTTGGTTGCCGCATAAAGCCACAATGAGGAGCCCCAACGTTGTTAGCATTCAGCTAGCGTGGCAGTACGGTGCAGCTTCCTGCTGTGTCTACAGTAAAACCAATAAGAGGACGGTATCATGGGATTGTGCAGGAGAAATATGGCACATTATTTTTGCGGCGGGGGGGTGGAGGGCCGGGCGCTGAGAGACCCGGGATACAGATAAGACTCCCATTAAGGATTCAACCACGGGGTCACGGCAGTTACAGCTCCTCCACCGAGGCGCAGATTTCCATTTTTGCCACGTCCCAGGATTCACACTTGTAGCTTTAGTGCTGTTACAGTCCCACTAAAGTCGTCTTTATGGGCTGCTGGCGGTGAACAATAAGTTGATGATGCAAGTTTGCCACCCAGTAACTTTTGTGGTTTGACAAAAAAATAAAAAAAAAGCTCATATTTTAATCAGCGTCCCGTGTTTGAACAGCGAGCTCTTCTCCTGCTTTGATGATACCAAGAGGATATAAACGGCTCACGTCCCGCCGGAGCCGAGCAGGTGCGACGATGCACGGTTCCCTCCGGTGACCCTGATTCTCCCCCAGAGATCGGATCAGCCCCTCTGTTAGGCTGGCTGAGCCTGATAACTCCTCTGAGCGATAACAAGCGAGGACAGAAAGGAAACATATATGAGAGAGAGAGTGAAAAAGATACCGCCACCTGTGCATGTGGCGGCGGCGGCGGCGGCGGGAGAGGAAAACAGGCCCGAGTGTGTAGCTGCATGTGTTTGTGTTGTTCACATCAAACAATAGAGAGGCAGGGAGGTGTTCCTTGGCTCCCTGTTAGCGTTTGAAAAATGACACGAACGGACACCTTTAGAAACAGCAGCACCTCTCTGTTTGCGGGAGAGGAAGGAAGGCAGGGTGTAATATTGGCGGAGCGAAAGAAGATGAGTCATGTCATCTTTAATGAAAGCGCCGGCAGCATCTGTGTGGAGTTGTGGTTGGCACCATCAGCACATTGTTATCTCCCTGTGTTCCCCGGCTAAGAGGCGGCAGCAGCAGACCTCCCAGGCCGCGGTGTGGCAAAGTCGCACTGGAGGCCATTAAAGACAGACGGCGGCACCTGGCAAATAGGGCAAGAAGAAGACAGAGGAAATGGAGGGGGAAAAAAAAAAAAAAGAAATGGAACAGAGAGTGGCTCATTATCGTTCAGAGCAGGTATTACAGGTTAGAAACCCTTTGGAGTACGAGTGGAGGAGAAGCGGCGGCCGGATGGAGTAATTCTGTCTGCTTTCTTAATTAAACCTACACGTGATCGGTGTGATCCAGCTCAGCTCTCAGGTCAGGAGCTTGAATACTGGGGAAAAAAAAAGAAGTAAAAGTTGATTTTAATTTTTTCTAAACGCGGTCCTTTTATAGAGGAAATGATGTTTTGAATCAGGTGTGTGTATTTTGCAACAGGGCAGATATAAAAGGCCACAAATGTCACGAAATGACAGAACGCCTGATCCTCGCTGTCTGGCTTCAGCGAAAGGCCAGACTCACACGTTGCTTTTAACTTTTAAGCTCGTTTCTCCCACTGGAAGCATCCTGCAAACCGTTAATAGATCAGGGGTGTTGTAACAGTGCCCCCTAGTGGATGTGGTTGGAAATAAAAAATTTGCATGTGTTCTGCATTTACAGTATCTCTCAGCCACACTATTTTTTTCTCATATAAAGCCTCTCCTATATCCTGGGTCTATCGTTTAAGAAAAAACAAATCTTTTTCAGACATAAAAACTTTCTGCAGGCCGTGACGCAGACGTTTGTCACATTTTCAACCTTCACAGACGAGCGACGAGGAACCAGAAGGGCCCGGATGTTTTGAATAAATCCACTCAACTTCACAAAGCAGCAAAACAATACCGTTCAAACGCCAACATCGTGCCCGTCAGCTCCACCTGACTGTAATTATGCTAATTTAAAGTAATTAGCCAAGAAACCTGCTAGCTTTAATGAATGGCTGCTAAAGAGCACGAGGTAATTCCAGATAATGAGCCTCACACTCTGCGGTTTAGACGAACACTCAGTGGTTTTTTATTTTTAAGGGATTCCCGTCTACACTCAGATAAACTCCAGTCCACGCTGATGAGACTCTAGACAAACATTTTCTTTGCCGCCTGCCACAAACACGCCTTGGCGCTGCTATTTTGGCCCGGGGTCACCTGTTGACCTGACAGGCAAGTGTCGGGGGAGAGCTCACATGTCAGCTGCAGGTGGAGGCTCTCGGCGGGGATCGATGCTGTGCTGCCGGCCGGCGCAGTCGGAGCCCAGGACGACTCGAGCGACTGCAGGTAAAGGGGGGCTCCTCCGTCCGCCGTTATCGCACTCTGCTCGTCTTTTGTGTGTTTTAACTGATCTCTCAGGACTCGGCTTCCCTGTGATGTATTATTTTGCAGACATGTGCAGTCACGGCCGCTTGTTTTTTTCTCGTTTGACAATCTTGCTCTTTTCTCAGATGTTGCCGGCGCCTTGGAGTTTACCTAAAGGTTTCATGAGGTTGAGTAGACACAGGTAAAGGGATATGTCCTCCTTCCCTTCGCTGTACATGCAGATTCGTACGTCTGTGCAATTAGCCTTGAAAACCAAATCTTTAATGTCACGAGGATAATGGTGCATCCTGGGAAGGTTTTGTTTTTTACGGTCAGTGTTATTTTTAACCTGTATCTCAGACGTGCCGTTTCTCACCTGCTCTCTCCTCAGTTAAGCAATTAACGCGGGGCAGCAAGTCTGGAGGTGTCCCAACCCTCTGAAGATGTACGGCCTGTATTTGGAAGCAGTGAACGATTACATCAACGAGTCCTACGGAGAGGATGTGTGGAGGCTGATCGAGAACCGGGCGGAGATACCCCACCTCAAGTTCGTCAGACATCAAATGTACAAGTAGGTTTTTTGTGGTTTACGCTGTGAGTCTGGATTTTTAGTGCTTGAACTGCAAAAAAAAAGACATAATGGGAAGTGACAAAGCACACAAACCTAATAGCAGAGCAATCTAGCAGGACTTAGCCACTCGCTCAATTCAAGTGCAGCACTCTGAAATATTAAAAAATGCAAGAACTTTTTTTTTAGTCCCCAGCTGAGTTACTGACAAGGGATGTAGTTAACTGTGACGATATGCACAAGGTGGACAGAATGTAAATGTACAATCTGATGCAGTTTAGCGCAGTAAGGACGCAAAAATAATAGATTTGTTTGATTTTTTAGCACAAACTGTTGATGTTGTTCCCACTCCTGCATTTTAATTTGATTTACTGGAATTAGAATTCTCTCTATATGATAGATTTTTCAAGCAAATACCAACTCAAACAATACGATTAATCCATTCCTCCTTCTTTAACAGTGACAACCTGATCCTGCGGTTGGCGAAGGCAGCCGGCGAGGTTCTGGGAAAGACCCACGACGAGCTCATGTACGCCTTCGGGGTCTACATGGTCAAGAGGATCGGAAACTATGGATACGAGCGGATCCTGAAGGTGACGCAGCGGTCGTCTTTAGCTGCAAAATTAAAACTGTGATGGGTAACATATTGGTAGAAACCCAGCTCATGTTTTTTCCCCCATGAAGAGACAAATGAAGCAGAATCTGAGGGGAAACGTGTCCCTGTACGTATAATATCTTACAGGGCTGGTCTAGGACAATCAAAAATACATCTGTCCTGGCGTTTTGGCGCACACCGGCTCACCACAGTCAATCACACATCACTCATCTTGTCACCGACTGAAGCTATGCAATGAGGAAGAGGGAGTCAAGGAAGCTCAGGAGGGGAAAAAAAACCCCTTAACAAGTGGCGTTGCGTTGCTCTCATCTGATAAATCCTAAATAAAGCGATGGCATCCTGGGTGTGTGAGAGAGAAACAACATAATAATGATAAATGACTGATCAGGAAAACCACATGAAAGCTGGTTCCCTCCCAGATTCGGTTTAAGGTCCCAAAAGAACGCTGTTCAACTTACGGCCTAATAAATAAATGAGCAGTCGCTGCCAGTCGTGATGTTGACATTGAGAAATGGTAGCTAGCTAATATATTGACATTTTTCCACAAGGAAAATGCATCAGAGCCGTGCTAACGTGTAGTGTTAGCTCGCCAAGGAAAACACAAGCGTTCCCTAGCCGTTAGCATCTCTTGCTAGCTAGCCACTGTGACCTCCATACATGGTGACGTTGGAAGCACAAACACACCTGCGCTAATAAAAATTAGACAAATTGAAATAAAGTAGATCAAAGCATGCATCTTTTACTGTCACATTATCAACATAATTTGGCAAATGCCAGCTAGTTTGTTCACTACTAGTGCTTATTTGCGTAATTTTAACACGCATCATTTAATCATCAATGCTAACCATTAGCATCACATTGCTAGGGGAGGTAGCTAGCCTATTGTTAGCTTATATTTAATGCGGGTTCAACACTTCCTCCGCTTTGTAAGACTCATATAATGACATTTTTCCACAAGTATAATGTATCAGAGCCGTGCTAAAGTGTAGTGCTGTTTCACCAAGGAATACACAAGAGCTAGCTTTCTAGCCGTTAGCATCTCTTGCTAGCTAGCCACTGTGACCTCCATACACGGTGGTGTTGGAAGTAGCCTGCTAACACCTGCTATAATAAAAATAGCCAAATTTAAATAAAGTAGACCAAAGCATGCATCTTTTACTGTCATATTATCAACATAATTTAGCAAATGCTAGCTAGTTTGTTCACATTTTAACACGCATCATTTCATCATCAATGCTAACCGCTATCACTACTTTGCTAGGGGAGGTAGCTAGCTGCTATAATGCGAGTTCAAGACTCCCTCCACAGACTCAAAACTGTTCAGGACTGTTTATTCTTTGCGATTTCCTTTTCTTATATGTATAATTTTTATCTGTTCTGCTGTATTTGTTTCCTTCTAAAGCGACCTTGGGTGTCAAGAACGGCGCTCGCAAGTAGAATGCATTATTCTTCTAATTAGCCACAGGTGCTAAAATAGCTCCTCAGCAAACCCGTTAATGACTTTAACACATTTATCTGTTATTTTGTAGGCCACATCTCCTCAGCCTCTTCACTTCAAAACTTTACAAACGCTGAAGGAAGTGCGCTGACCCCACATCAGAGGGATTTAGAGATGTGACTGGCTAATATATCAAACTGTTAAATAGAACACTCCAGCCAGTGGTCTTTTCTTTTTTTTTTAACTTTTCTCTTTTAGCTCAATCTAAGAAGCAGCGTGTGGTCGGGGTCACAGTACAGATGAGTCGATAACGGAGCTATAAATAGTGAACTTCCCTCTAAACGTCTCGCGTGGTTTCATATCAGTTATGTTCATGCGCTCCGATATCTCCCCAAAAATCTGGACTAAAAAGTCATTTCAGAACCAGTCTTTCTTCTTCCATTAATCATCTCGTGTGTCGCCAGAATAATTTGGTGTCCCTGCTTATAAAACTGTACATAAAGTGGTTCAAAGTAGCTCCACAAACGGCCCTTTTCCTTTAATACTTGAACTATTTTTGCTGGTAATTTGTGATGCTTTTATTTTGACAATTTTTACTTTGGTGTATTGGAGGATGTTCCATCACTGGGTCTCTTAAATATCTGTGTTGGGGTTGAGATGTAGTGACGAAGCAATGAGCTGTAACGTAATGTAAAACTTCCCCGTCCTCCGCCTTCCTCCAGGTGTTGGGCCGAAACGTGCGCGACTTCATCAACGAGCTGGACAACCTGCACGAGTACTTCCGCTTTTCCTTCCCCAAGGTGCAGCCGCCGAGCTTCTGCGTGGAGGAGGAGTGCGAGACGAGCCTGACTCTGCACTACCGCAGCACCCGCAAGGGCTTCACCCAGTTCGTCAAAGGTACCAGAAGCTCAGCTCGGCGGTTCCCCCACCCGGTTGGGTTCGACTCCTCGCCGCAGCGACAGGAAGCTGGGTTTGACCCCCAACCTCAGCGCGCACTTTACATCTTCCCCCTCGTGTTTGTGTGGGTTTTATGACATGCGAGGACAGGCTGTGAGCATCGCGGGGTGATTAAGAAAAGCATGACTTCAGAGCAAGAATAGGAAACTGTTCTGAGGAAGACTTGCTGTCAGGTTCAGAACTGTTGTGCTGCTTTTAAGCGTCGCTCACAGAAAACAAACGGCATTAAAGATGTAATCTGAGCAGCACGTCTTACACCTTTAACTGAACATTTCATGCGCTTTATTAGTAGTTTTTCTACCTTCTGGGCGTCTTTTCATGCATCACTGTTTCCAACTGCACAAAACTAAATAATAGTATGAACCTAACACGTGTAGCACCGCTCAAAAACAGAATTACACAAAAAATAAACGTCAAACGATGAATTCAAACAAATGAATAAGATCCCAGTCTTGCAATATATAAACAAAACAGTCGAGACCCTATTATGTTATTAATCAAGTGATTTAACCCGAGTTCTTCCCATACGAGCGATTAAAACCCTAATAAAATATATAAATACTGCTTCACCTGACTTTGACGCACGTTAAGGTTAAGACCCGACAGTGTTATTAAAAATGGAGAACGTCCTAACTCATGTAATAATATAGGTAGGACCCGACGGGGTTATGAATCCAGGAACTTAATGAATATAAAAATTATAGCCAGACCTCACAGCATCATTAATTATTGATATTAACCTGACTAGTCGTTTTAGGGTGGGCCGAGCTTTCACAAGAACCGTCCCTGTAGAACCTCTGTAGGGTTCATATTTGGGGGGAGAAAAACCAAAACCTGACTGCTACGTGGGTCTCAATGCTGACTGGTTGAACTCAAAAAAGATGTACAGGACAACATGAAAAACCCTCCATTACTCTATTTCCCAGCTGCTCAGAGAATCCACCGTTATTTGTCTTCTCCTTCGCTGGTTACAGGCTCGTTCCTGTAATCCAACGTGCTCTTTACTAAACAGTAATGTGTCGTATATGGACCCCAAACATCATAACAGCGTAGTAACTGTATTTTTATGCTGATTTTATTTTCAGATTTAACTTGAAATGAGACAGAATATTAGAAATTAATTGCCAAACGCAGCTGCTGTACAGTTAGTTTTATGTAGCTGCACTTTATTTTGAAACCTATTCCCCTTTAAAAATCTATTTAAAGTCGATTTTCCATTAAAAATGTACAAAAAAAAAGAAGAACAAACCTCTGCGCGCTCCGAAAAAAATGTAATTATTTGGCTCATGAGGACACGGCAGCAGTGACACTCCCAGACAAGGTTAATCTATCCAGACAAAGTCACTGATTCCTAACAGAATGGAAATCTGCTCAGCAGTACAGTCAGCTGGTGAATGAAGCTCACACGAGCCTGTTCTGACTAAACCTCTTGAAGCCGACCTCCTTGACCGGTGTGCGTTATTGACTCCTGCAGGGCAGCTCTCTCAAGTGGGACGGCAATTCTACAACACGGACATCGAAGTGGAGATCCTGTCTAAAGAGGAAACCGAGAAGATGACGTATGTGGTATGTACTCGGATCCGTCGAGTGCCTGACCTTGACCCGTCTGTCGGTTCAATCAGCATGGAAATGATCCCGTCGCTTTCGACGAGACGAGTTCTTGTTTGCACTCAGACGGCAAGTGTTTATTGGACGGAGATGAGTGCTTATTGGGAAGGGGCTCTGGGTGGGATCAGATCTACAGGAGAGCAGATTGGAAATATTCAACCTGTGAGCTGACACCAGCGTCGGCCTCGTTGTTCTGGAGATGTTCCTCAAGCAAAACGGCACAGTGTTTGATTTCTGAAACGGTGAGCAAGCGGCTCACTCCCGAAACACTTTTACGGGTAAAATCAACCGGAAAGGGAACGTACCAACTCTGGGGCTGAACAGGAAGTGGTAATAAGAGTGGCCAATAAGAGTTGTTGTTATTTATGGAGTTCATGATGACCCAGCGACCGAGTGATGTTTTTCGTGTGGTCAGTCTTTAGAACTTTTAAAGGGCATGGACCAGATGGAAGGACCAGATACGCTGCAGCAGTGCATTTTAATGAGGGACACTCGTACGCTGTGATCGTAGATATGATGTCATGTTTGCATGATGTTCACGTCAGCTTGAGGTCTCTGAAAAGCATGAAGCCGGGTTGTAACTGCGTTAATCGGCTCGTGTGTGGGCCACAAAATGGGCAAAACTCGGTTGCTATCCATCGTGGGTCACCATGAACTCCATAAATGACAACTGACCGCTCCCCGTGACCACTCCCGGTTCAGTCTCAGAGTTGGTACGTTCCATTTCTAGTTGATTTTACTCGTAAAAGTGTTTTGCACTTCCCGGTTACTGTAAAAAGGTCCTAAAAGGACTCTAGAATCAGTTTAATCTCCATTCTAGTAAAGCATACTTAACGGTAATGGTAATGGTAAGAACAACTTGGTACCAGATTCCTGAATGGTGGTTAATTTCAATATAAAAACGGCAGACTTGATGCTCACAAACCAATTTATAAAAGCTGATGATTTGTCAGAAAGTACATCTGTAGTTGTAAATATTAAAAAAATAAATAAATAAATAAAAAATTGCACATCTAGAAAAAACATGAATGAACTGTCTGAAGAGTTTTTTTTTCCAAAAGCAAAACAAAAATAAAAATAAAAAATTAATAAAAATGATTCAAATAAAAAGTAAGAAAAAAATTAATAAAAAATTTTAAATAACTTTAAAAATTAAGAATTTAAAAATTAAATGACAAAATTATATATAAAAAAAACAAACTAAATAAATTTTAAAAATAAATAAATAAATTATTATTATCTCTATTATTTTATTTATTTGTCTTTATATTTCTACTTTTATCAGCCTTTTCTTTGAAGTATTTATTTTTGATTAATATTGCCACATTATTTTTTACTTTTTCATTTTGTTTATTCTTTTTATTTCCACTTTAATTTTTTTTTATTCTTTTCTTGATTTATGTTTGTCATGTGGTACTCTCACTACTCCATAAAATGGTGCCTGAAACCATAAATATATTTATTAAATCCTGTACGGCCTTATGATGGTATTTTTTTTATTTTTATTTTTTTAACTCTAGTAGAAATATACGCCTTTGCTTTTAATATATTTCAAAAGCTCAGCATCATAGAAATACGCCATTACATTTTGCTTCATCAAGTGCACTTAAAACTCACAAAATCCATCCGAGGGTTTAAAAAGGCATGATAACTTTTTTTTTTCCTTAAATCACAGATGTTACACCATTTATGGTCACCAAAAATAGCAAAAAGAGAAAGAATCATAAGAGTTTGAGCTTTCCAACATACAACGAGACAGACTGAGAGGAAAATAAAACGTACTTGATCAATAAAATAAATACAGCGTGGCTCTAAAGCAGCAAACGGAGACGCGAGGTGTCAGAAAACTGTTGGAGGATGTGTTCATCATGGTGACGTATGTTTGAAATATGGTGAAATACAGTTCTTAAAGGCTGTAAAAGTGTAAATGTAAATTATCTATAGCATGTAGAGCCTCACATTTTTTTTATTCTAGTATTAGTAACACCTAAACACCTTTATTTCTACCTACTTCTAGTCATGGTTGTGCTGTTTCCATAGAGCCCACAGCGAGTGAAAAGCTGACAGCGGGTTCAGAGGGTTAAGAGAAAAACTCCCACTTCTGCACAAAAAAACACAAGCTTCCTCTCATCAGCTTGTGTTTCAGAGGTTTCTCCACCTTCTCGTCTCGCTCCAGGTTTACAAGATGAACTTTGACAACGCCGCCTTCAAGCACCGCATGCCCCAGCAGAAGACGGCGCCGAGCTACGAGAAGCTGCCCATGAAGCGGGGCATCTTCTTCGACATGTTCCCCTTCAGCGTCATCTTCCGCCGCGACATGACCATGTACCGCATCGGCGACGGCCTCAAGGAGGTCTTCTCCGACCTCCAGGGCAAGAAGGTCAACGAAGAGTTCACGCTGGTCAGGCCCATGCTGGAGTTCAGCTGGGACAACGTGAGTTTGGACTCACCGCTCGCACGATGATGTTCAGTCTCAGCCCGGAACGCTATTCTAAGCACAAAACTCTTTTCTGCTTGCCTTGGTCAGATCTACACCCATCTGAACAACGTGTTTGAGCTTCTGTCCAAAGCGGTGGTGGAGAGCAAGCAGAAGGTCAACATCCCCAAACTGAGCAAGGAGGAGCCAGAGGAGAAGGAGGAGAGCGAGAAGCCGAAGAGGGAAGAAGAAACGGGTACCGGTCTCAAGCTTTCACGTTTGTTAATCATTTCAAATCCATAACGTGTGGATATCTGGAGAGAGCAAAATAAAACATTCACGATCCATTCAGGGGGACATTAGAATCAAACTGTTATCAAATCTAAATGCATCCTCAAACACTATAAACTGATTTGGACAGAACCCTGAACACATCAGCATATAGACGCTTCATCTGTTCACTTCCTGACTGTTGCTCTCCTGTTATTGCCCGAGTGTGTGACTGGAATCCACTGCAGCGTTTTCCTACGACCTTGTTAGCTTGCATGGTTAACTCATCCCGCTTCGTTTGTCATCCATCCTCCACCAGAGCAAAAAGCAGCGGAGGAGATGAAGGGCACGGACCAGGAGTACAGCAGCTCCCTCACTCAGTACAACAGCGCTGCCAACTCCGGAGGCGAGGACATCGAACTGCTGGCGTTCCAGACTGTCACCGGTTAAAACCTTTTTACTCTTTAAGCTTTACAAAACGAGCCGGTAAACCGTTAATGGCTTTCCTTCATGATTCTAAACACGTCTTTGATTGAGTCATAACTCTGTTCACTTCTGCTCAGGAAAGTGCAGCGAGACCATCTTTGAGGACATGCGGGAGCCTCCGAAGAAGCCTTTACACCTGAAGGGCCAGATGAAGTATGTCCCTCAGTGGGACTCCCTCATCTTCCTGGGGACGCCCATGTAAGATCATCCCGTCCGCTCCTAGAAACCACAGACTGTATAAAAGATGGACGTAGCTACCGTAACGTCACCCGTTGGTTTCTGCACTGAGAAAATGAAGCCAGGGGTTTGCTACTTCCTGGTTGACATCTTGGATTTTTGGAGCCAAAAATCGTGGGAGGGGGGCGGAGCCATAGGAGCAGTGATTGGTCAGACGGATTGAGAGGCGGGCCCTCTCTGCCCCGCCCACATTTACCTCCTTCTGCTCGCTTCGCCTGCATCGTCGCTGCCGACTGTCAATCAAGCCAGCCACGCCCCTTGCGCCGCAAAATATTGACGATTTTTTAAAAATTCAGTATTGATTTATTTTCAGATTGGCCACCTGATCTCTGGATTTGACTATGAAAACTAATAAGAAAAAAATCCCGAGCTGTAGGAAAGCGGCATTTGTTCCTTTTCAATTCATTTCTATTGGAGCCAGGGCTTTCTGGAGCCAGTAGCTAGTGGACGTAGTGATACTGCAGGTTTTTGACACTTCCGGGTTGGCTTCATTTTTCAGGGCCGGTTGCTACGTCCACCTTTTATACAGTCTATGCTAGAAACAGAGACCCAACTCCAGGTCCCAAATCAGGCCGGGTCCAAGTTATACCCAGTCTAATCAGGTGTGAAAGAGTCCTGCTCTGTTGCTACAAGGACTGCACGAGCCTCCATGTGTCTATTATCCAAGTGGAGCTGCCTCGGTATCAGTTCTGATCATGTAGGGCATCAATCATTGTAGTGGGGGTTTTTTTGGTCTCTCTAATTCTGTTCTGCTGTGGCTTCATGGTCAAAGTCGTTTGTTTCTTTCTCTTCTAAATTAATTTACCTAAGAGATTGTTAAAAATAGTTTTTTTTAGTTTTGAATAAGTCAAACTTCGACCAGATGAAGGTGTTATGTTACACTAGAACCTTTATTTATAACATAGTTTATGCAGCCAAACATCTCATATTTCCCTTATTTTAGTATGTTTCATATTATAACGTGGAGTCTTTTTATTTTCTGAGGCGCTGTTTCTGTTTCCGAGGTGTTAATTTGCTGTTCTTAGTGTGTGCCATGTTTTCTACACATTCCCTCAGCGTTAGCCGTGAAACACAGTGTTATATTTCATTAACTTCAGCCTAACTGAGAAAGCGCAGTTATGTGTAATATTCAGAAATAAACAGAAGCTGCTGTGTTTCTGTTTACGCCACCACAGTGCTTATATGTACAAAACAGGCCTGCAGGGTTGTTGGACCAACAGCAACCCCTGCCTACATGAGGTATTATTTTAATATCAGCCATTATGTGATCATTTACTGGAAAAAGGGCAGCAGATCAATATATTCATGCTCTACCCTGGACTTCTTCCTTCACTCTTCAGTTCTAGATGTTGTGCTTCTTAATGACTGATATTAGGAGCTACAGATTAGACATTAATGCATCCTCATTTCCTTCGTTTTCTTGCAGCATAGAGACGGTGGAGGACATGATAAAGATGGGCGTGTACGTGAACGATCTGAATCTGCACGACTCCAGCAGGGAGCTGATCTTGGCCGGGACGCAGCAGTCAGCTGAGCTGCAGCTGGCCCTCGATCAGGTAAAGAAAAAACCCCGAATCCTCGGCCCGGAGAGACGGATCGTCCTGCCAGCAGAGCAGATTTGTTTTAAACAGTGAGAACTCGCTTCTACAAGATCATGACGTATGAGGGCAGTCTGAGGCGGTTCGTGTGATCAAATAAAATGTCTTGTTATAACACTTGTATGACTTCTAGCACAAGTCATTTTGTATGATGCAATAGGTGCACAAAATGTAAGAAGCGCCAGTTCTCTGCGTGCCGCAGCCGGACCAGGTGAGCTCAGGTGAAAGCTCTGCTCCGCTATTGATTTCACCCATTAAAGCTACTTCAGTCATGCAGGAGAGATGTGGATTAGGAGGATTAAAGAAGGCAAAGAGGGATTCTTGAGCTTTAAGAGAGGCCCGACTGTAACCGTAGACTCTTGTATCCTGTTTCTGATCCTCCAGGAGCAACAAAAATATGCTCAGCTGCAGGAAATTATCAAGAAGCTGGATGAAGAAAAGAAGAGGGGAGATTCTTTGCTGTACGCCATGATCCCTAAAGCCGTGGCCGACCGCCTTAGGAAGGGAATCACGGCTCTGGAGACCTGCCAGGTACAAGAGACGACAGGGTTTTGTGAACACAGATAGCGGCGCTCACGAAATACAAAAAAACATCATGTTCCAAAAAAAAAAAAAAACAGCTAAATTGAGTTATTCTAGCTAATAGGACACTGTGAGCAGACGTTTCTAGTCACTTAAAGAGAGAGCACATCTTGCATCTCAAGTACCTTTGTTTCATCATCCCACGCCAGCTCGGGTCAGGGGTCCGCCACGCACCAGTGGCTGTGGCCTGGCAGCTACACGAAGCAGAATTACTTTTTCCTGTTGTGAGCTCGTCATAATTTTGTGTGTGTGTGTGTGGCCCCAGGTGTTCCCAGATGTGACCATCCTGTTCAGCGACGTGGTCAAGTTTAACGAGATCTGCATCCACATCACACCCATGCAGGTGGTGGACATGCTGAACGAGATCTACATCGTGTTCGACACGCTGAGCGAGAAGCACAACGTCTACAAAGTCAGTGCAAGAACGGAACAACGGCATACTACTCTTAACTATTTATGTTTGGCATTTGTGCTTTTGAGGTCTGTTTGTGAAGCCTGATTGGACTTTTCTTCTTTTTTGTCAGCAGGGAAAACTTCTAAAACAATACTGACTGAGATAAACGGCACAAAAATGAATAAATAATTAGAAAAATCTACATTTTATGGGAATTTTGCACGTTTCATTTAGCAAATCTAGCAAATATTTTTTATGTGCAGAAGAAATGGGTCAGACTATTATCAACTTTTTAAAGATAATATATGTAAAGTATTTGTTATTCTTCATGCAAACGTCTCTACAACACTTCTATTCATGGAGCACATTGTAGCTTCAAAGTTCAGATTTTCGGCAACTATAAACAAGTTTGCAAATTTGCATTTCTATTCCCGCCGTACAACTCGTCGCCATCCTCTGTGTCCAGGTGGAGACGATCCGTGACGCCTACATGGTGGTGGCGGGCGTGCCCAACAAGACCACCTTTCACGCGCACCACATCTGCGACATGGCCCTGGACATGCTGAGCTCCATCGACCACCTTAAAGACCCCTCAACCGGGGATAATATCCAGATCAGAGTCGGTGAGACAGCGAAACTGTCTGGAGCTTTGCCGGCTCATGTGCGATAAGGCATCCAGATTATTTGGATGTTTTGCAGGTTCCCTGTTGCTGTTCGTATGAGGTCAGGGTTAACCGCAGAACTGGGAGGGAATCAGTGGCTTGATCCTTGGACTTCACACAGCTGAAGTTGAGGCTTTTTATCTACTCAAACTCTCTGCTGCCTTTCGGTAACAGTCCCAAAAAAAATGATTTTGAGATCTTGGGGCGTAGCAGAAGGATTTTCCTTCAACCAGAAGGCCCAGATGAAGTGCACAGAACAAGACACAGA